CACACACACACACGGGGAAAAAAATTGGGTTACGGAAATCAAACCATATTCACTATTTTTAATAGAAGTTACAAAAGAAACAAACAAATTGGAATGGTAGGTCAGTGATTATATTTAATTTATCATGATGGCTTGTTATGGGCACCGGTGACCCATGTGACCCTGAAAGGAATAAGCGGGTATAGATAAAGGATGGATGGTTTGTGTACCCTGGCATTCTTCATTACATATTCTGTTTTCTATTCCTTGTTTATTTGTTTTAGTAAAGATCTTGAAATAAAATAAAATAAAATAAGTGAGGCACTGCAGCTAGATAAATAATGCCTACAAAAGTCAGACATGCCCTGAAAACCAGCTCAACACTTAAAACAAAGTCCAAGTCATAAAAAAAGCATACAGTATGCCCTGCTGGTTATCAGACATCCTGCTGATATTTGACCAAAGGAGGGGCCCAAGACAAGACGGCTCCTTGAGACTGTATATTAGGTGAAAAATACTAATAAGTTACATACAAGGCATTTTACAAAAAGTGCTTAGTTGTCCTGGTCTGAGCTTTTCCATTTATGGTAACTTAAAACAGTGTGTATATGCAACTGTAAAAAACTAAAGTGATGAACAAGAGAAGGGAAAATACATATTAAAAAGCCCATTATTCATTCGACTGCCCACCACCCACTAGACCAGAGTATCTCATTTTATTTCTTTTATAAAGTTACTTGTGTCAGACACCTTGAATTGGAAGGACTTCAAAACTTAATCAATTGGAGATATGTATCCAATAATTTGAAAGTTTAATGAAACCCATATAGTGTTTCACGAGATGTTGTGCTGACAGACTAGACTCCAAAAGTTTAAACAAAAATCTTGCACAATCTATTAATGCTCAAGTGTATGTGTTAGAGATGATTTTCAGCTACTAACACACCAGATTTAAGGGCAATATCTCTAAAATCAACTGAGTTATAGTCACTTTTATAAGTTTGATTTGCTGTGGTGGACACGTTTAATGGAGTGGACTCTTAATCACTTATAGATGTGAGATTCCTTAAAATCTGTAATGCTCAATTTTACTTGTTGAATGTATCAGTTAAAAAAAGAGAAAACAAATCATGCACTGGCGGGGGGGTGGTGGGGTGTCAATTCCTTTCCATCTGTCAATCTCCATTATGCGTTGTGTTTTTTTCAAACAGAGTTTGCTCCTTTGAACCCTTCAGATCAGTTTGAGGAACAAAAGCAAACGAATGAGATTGTCCTGTGAGGAATTCTGCCTTGTTCACTGTCTTTCATGACATCCTCTTTAGGCACCTTTTGCCTCTCTTCATTCATGGTCCTCCAAGAAAGTCAATGGTTCCTTACATCTTAGTTTGGCAAATCAGGAGGATACATGCTAATCCCCTTAATCTGGCCTTTCTCCTTCATGCAGCCACAGGGAGAGAGGGACCACAAAGAGTAATCCTGTCAGAAAAACAATAGGATTAGGGGCCAACCCGGCAAGTGACAATCAGGTATCCACTGACTGATCTGCCAAGCAGGAGCCCTCTCTGCAAAGCCCCGTCCACTCTGTCTTCACTTGTGACTAGTTTTGTTTGACGGGCCTGAGAGGGATGGGGCTGAAGGCAGGAGCTGTGACAGGAGGAAGATTTATTTGAGGGACTGCTGGAGGTCTGACAAGTCTGAGGTCTTCTAAGCACCAGGGACCAAGGAATGACTGACATGTAAGAAACAGGAGCGAGGATGGGGGTTTGGTTAAGAATGATGGGAAAATTTTATCCATCGGTGTGAGCAGGAGGAAGACACACAAACAGTAGATGTGACCGGTGGCCATAGCCAGGTAAGGACCTAAATTACTTTGGCTACACTGTGGGCATCTTTCATGTGACACATTATAGTACAGAGTGAATAAATACATCCAAAAATATTTTAATCTGAAATAATATTTTAATACATTACAAAAACCAAATAATTTATTTGAAAAGGAGGAAATAATTTTGGCCAAGTTCACTAAAATTGAACATTCTGTACAAATTAATACAACACCACTCTTATGGTACAAAACACAATTATACCTTTAAGTTATCCTTCCAATTTAAATATACCCTTTAGTTTCTCTCCACCAGATGGCCCTGTTGGTACAAATATGGTCTCAGGTCTGTCACAGATTCAGAACCAGTTGTAGTTAAAATAAAGATCTTTAGTCTGACCAAAGCTGAAGTCTGAATTTTTAAGTTCATTTATAATGCAAACCGTTACGATGCTTTCACGAGAAAGCTCTGTCCTGAGAGAAACTAGCCCTTAGATCAAGAGAAGTGGAAGGTGTTGGTGAAATTTGCCAAAGAAAACAAGTTTCTGTTTGGAATCCTGTTACCGTATGTAACCGTGTGTACAGCATGAATGACAGGGAGTTGTAGGATTAAAGATTTCCACGTGTAAAGTGAGCCTTGTGGTTCTTCTGCGTGAGTCGTTATGTCACCTCAGTGCTCCTCTCTGCAGAGAGACTGACACCAGAAGGAAACCAATTATAGGTATGTTGTCGTGTTGGGGAGCTTCCAGCTTCCATAACAGTTGTTTATCCCGTGGGCTTGGGTGCCTTTCTTAAGCTGCAATGATTTATAGGTCAGTGTTTAGTGTCTTAGACAAAAAAATTAAAAACTTTCCCCGAAAGTTTGCAGGTATAAGATGCCTTGATAAAGTCAAAACAACCAATGAAAAAATAAATGATCATTGCAACAATTTAAATTATTACAAGTACATTTGGATATATACTGCAATTTTTCAAATGTATAAAACTCACATTGCAGCCTTATACAGTGGTTTGCAAAAGTATTCATACCCCTTGAACTTTTCCATATTTTGTCACATTACAACCACAAACATAAATATATTTCACTGGAATTTAATGTGAAAGACCAACACAAAGTGGTATACAATTGTGAAGTGGAAGCAAAATTTTACATGAATCAAAACATTTTTTACAAATAAAAAACTGAAAAGTGCGACGTGCAAAAGTATTCAGCCCCCTTTTCCCTGAGTGCAACCAATTGCATTCAGAAGTTGCCTGATGACTGCTAATGACTCAAAAGGGTCCACCTGTGTGTAATCTAATCTCAGTACAAATACAGCTGCTCCGTGACGGCCTCAGATGTTGGTTAAGAGAATATTGGGGAGCAAACAGCATCATGAAGTCCAAAGAACACACCAGACAGGTTAGGAATATGGTTTTGGAGAAGTTTAAAGCAGGCTTAGGTTATAAAAAGATTTCCCAAGCTTTGAACATCTCACGGAGCACTGTTCAATCCATCATCCGGAAATGGAAAGAGTATGGCACCACAGTAAACCTGCCAAGACAAGGCCGTCCACCTAAACTTACAGGCCGAACAAGGAGATCACTGATCAGAGAGGCAGCCAAGAGGCCCATGGTGACTCTGGATGAAATGCAGAGAGCCACAGCTCAGGTGGGGGAAACTGTCCACAGGACAACAATTAGTCGTGCACTACACAAATGTGGTCTTTATGGAAGAGTGGCAAGGAGAAAGCCATTGTTAAAAGAAAACCATAAGAAGTCCCGTTTGCAGTTTGCCAGAAGCCATGTTGAGGACACAGCAAACATGTGGAAGAAGGTGCTTTGGTCAGACGAGACCAAAACTGAACTTTTTGGCCACAATGCAAAACGCTATGTGTGGCGGAGAAAGAACACTGCACATCACTCTGAAAACACCATCCCCACTGTCAAATATGGTGGTGGCAGCATCATGCTCTGGGGGTGCTTCTCTTCAGCAGGGACCGGGAAGTTGGTCAAAGTTGATGGGAAGATGGATGGAGCCAAATACAGGGCAATCTTGGAAGAAAACCTGTTGGAGTCAGCAAAAGATTTGAGACTGGGGCGGAGGTTCACCTTCCAGCAGGACAACGACTCTAAACATAAAGCCAAAGCTACAATGGAGTGGTTTAAAAAAAAGAATATTCATGTGTTAGAATGGCCCAGTCAAAGTCCAGACCTAAACCCAATTGAGAATTTGTGGCAAGATCTCAAAACTGCTGTTCACAAACGCTCTCCATCCAATCTGACTGAGCTTGAGCTGTTTTGCAAGGAGGAATGGGCAAGAATTGCAGTCACTAGATGTGCAAAGCTGGTGGAGACATACCCTAAAAGACTTGCAGCTGTAATTGCAGCAAAAGGTGGCTCCACAAAGTATTGACTCAGGGGGGCTGAATACTTTTGCACATCGCACTTATCAGTTTTTTATTTGTAAAAAATGTTTTGATTCATGTAAAATTTTGCTTCCACTTCACAATTGTATACCACTTTGTGTTGGTCTTTCACATTAAATTCCAGTGAAATATWTTTATGTTTGTGGTTGTAATGTGACAAAATATGGAAAAGTTCAAGGGGTATGAATACTTTTGCAAACCACTGTAACTATGCTGTGGAATCCCCCGTCTGATGTGAGGAACCTTACCAGTTTACCTTTTCTACACTTCTGCTCTGCTAAGTCTATATGTGGAGGTAAAGAGGAGAGTCAAGCTAGATGAACCTTGGATTCAGGAGAGGTGTGTTTTTTGTCGTGGCACT